CCCTCTCTCTCTCTCTCACTCTCTCTCACTGGCCCATCTTCAGGTGTTCTTGCTCCCTAATTCTTTGGTGCCCTCCTGGTTTCCTTAGGTATCCTCTGTTTGTATTGATACCCATCCCTATTATTTTTCAAAATCCTCTGCCCTCCCATATTTCTTCTCCTTTTCCCCCACTCCCTTTCTCCTCCTCCAATCAAAATTTCAATTTCTTCAATGGTACTACCTCAATTTGGGTTCAGAAGAAAAACAAATCTATTGACATAACTTAAAATAAACACACACCACCACCACTCCAGTGATTAGCATTTTAGAGGGGATAACTGTCACACCAGTTGCTCCCAACGCTGTTGTTTGCGTGGTTCTCAACAGCAAACAAAGCTGCAGGGCAAGAGGGCTTCTTCAGAACATGGCTTTTCTGACACTTCGAGTGTTTTTTAGATGAAAGTGCTTTCTTTTAATATATTTGAAAAATAAGATAAATCCATACCTCAAGCTTTATCAGCTTCAGATTTAATCATGTTTCTTGAACCGAATTCATCACAGCGTTTAAAGGGCAGTAAGAGAGCAGAGCCATCAGCCAGTCTTCAAGACTTCGGGATGAACTAGCAGATCGACCTTTATTCAAAACAAACAAATCCCTTTTTGACTTTTATCTCTGGCTTTCAAAACCGAGCACCCAGCAACAGATTAAAAACGCCTCCCAGACCCGTGCTGCTGGAAGGGGTGGGTCCTATGCCCCCCTCTGCGCATGCCCGGAGTCCCCGGTCCTCCGTGCTCAGGGCGAACGGCTTCGTGGCCGCCAAAGCCCAGCAGCCCGGGGCGCAGCAAAGACGCGGAAGGGTCGCCAAGCCGCAACCCAACGACCCGTGTCGAGCACGGCTAGCCTGTGATGCTGGGATGTTAACTGTGGAGTTTGTGTTGTCGGAAGAAAGCAGGAGAGCCGCTTCTCCCAGACCGGCAGGTTTCCCTGGGCGGTCCGCTCCCTCAGGGCCAGCGGGAGAGGGTGTGTGGAGAGCTGAGGACGGCCCTGCGCGGGCCTCGACGTCCCTGGCCGCAAGGACGCCAGGCGGCCGCTGCACCCGTGCGGGTACCTCCGAGCGGGCCCGGGCTCATTTTCCACTCGGCTGCTTCCCGGCCGAGCTGTAAACCCAACCTGACGTGGGCTCATTAATTTGGCAGCGACTGGAAGGCTGGGCCAGGGCGACGCACCCGGGAGGCCTTTGTGCGCCCAGGGTCGGGTCAGAGGGCAACCGAAACACGGCTGAACCCTGCACGCGGCTCCCGGGCGCGGGGCTGCGCGGCCCAAGCTGCTTCCTCCCTCCCGGCCGCCCCGCCAGCGCGGCTTCCGGAGCCCGGCAGCGCGGTGACCCGGGCCCTGCGCAGCGCCCGGCGGAGCTCGGAGCCGGCGCGTCCCACCCGGTCTCTCTCCGGGAGGGTCTCAGGCAGGCTGGGCCGGCCGTCTCCAAGGCCTCCCGCCTCCGAGATTCAGTTCCCCGGGCGCAGGCCCGGCTCTGCCCACCGCCTCCCCTGAGTCTCCGCGCCCCGCACCAGCCCGGGGGCGCCTGACCGGCCTGGAGCGCAGGGCTCGCCGCTTCCTTCCGGCCCGAGCCTGCCCCGAGCCAGGCTTCCGCCCGGCAGCCCCGCGGCCGGGTCCTGTGGCCTCTCGGGAGTTTTCCTGGGCGCCTGTGAGGCAGGGCTCCGTGTTCTTTTGCGCATGGAGCCCTGACAGTCGGCCGGCATCGAAAGCAGCCTCGCTGTCCTCTGTCTTCCCGCTCCGCCGGGTCGAGGCGTGAGTGCGGAAGGAGGCACGCGCGCCTCCCGGCGGGGAGAGGAGGCCACAGGCACCGTCGGCGCTCTGGGTCTGTTTCCCCCGCGTGCTCCTTGGGCCCTCCATGCTGACGAGCGGTTGCCGAATTTTCTTGCCCTTCTCCAGTTTTCTCGACGGGCGGGTTTAGACTTCGAAGCCCTAGAGCCTGGCTCCCCAAGCGAAACGGTTCTTTCACAAACGCTTGAAATCCGGCGGTGGGGACGGGGTGGCCTTGGGGTGGTCTAGGGGTGGGGGGAGAAGGGTTGTTATGCTTTATCCAAGTGCTCCAGCACAGATTAATTTTAGGAAGAAACAGAGTGGCTTCTGTGCCTTTAGGTGACTTTTGTGACATTTAGCAGCAAAGAAACCTATTTCCTCTGCTATTCAGAGCTAACCACGTGTAATTGGCCCAGAAGTCTCTTGTATTTTGGGGAACTGTTTGCGATAGCCCATCTGTTTTCATCTCGCAGTTCAAACGATAGTGTTTACCCTTATGTCGGGGAAATTGGTTTACATGCGCAGCAATTTCAGTGCGACACCGAAATATTGAACCAACGCTACGAATCGTACAGGCTTTGTACTGCTAATAACCCTCCATTACGACTGTCACGAGACATTTACACAGCCTCTTGGTCCTGTAAAGGAAAGTTAGATCCTGGGTTTATCTAACTATTTGAAAACCAGTTGGTCTTTGGCCAGAGACGCAGACGCATGGGTCAGGGGAGGTGGCCGGGCAGCCCGGGAGCAATCGGGTCGCAGGGGGCAAAGCCCTGACGCCTTCTGTCTCCTGTGGCGTGGGCTAGGTTGGCTGATACTGAACGACCCCCAGCAGCCCCCTCCTTCCGTCCCGCAGACTCGTTTGCGTCTCTTTTCTCCAAACCGCGATCCGGAGCTTCGGGCCCAGTTTCCCGAGTGACACATCGTGAAACCGCAGGGAAGTGGTGCAAGCCCGGAACAGATGGGTCTCTGACCCTGCGTGTTTCGCAGATTGAGGATGGATGGAGGTGTAGACGGCTCAGGGCCATCTAGCCCTTTCGTGAGCCGCAAAGAGATGGTTCGGTGCTCCCAGGAGGGACAAGTCTCCTTTCTCAGGCTGTGTCGAGGAAAGGGAGCTCGTCAATGCAGCGTGAAGCGCCGGCCCGCAGCGGTGTGGGTGGGGGGCGGTCTCGTTCTTTTGGCCCGTGGGCAGCCGCGGGACGGCTGCGTAACCGGCTCCGGAGACCGGGAGTGTGCGTTGGAGCCGCGCCCCGACTTTCCTGGGGCGGAGAAATTGGAGAAATTGCTCTGAAGTAGCGTCGGCTGCCCTGGCTGAGAGGCCCGTAATCAGCCCCTGGCATGTGTGCAAATGCTGATTTTGCGGGTGTTACTTAATCCACGCCGGCGGTGAAAAGCCTCGGGTTGGTGGCACGCTCACCTCCCACCGCCAGGCTTCTTTCTCGGTCTGCTCTGGGGAGCAGACTCTGCGTCCAGGGTGGGGTGGGGTTGGGTGACCGGTGAGGGTGTGAGTCTGATGCTGGGGCTTCTTTGGCCCAAGGATTGAGGAGTGAAAAAAGAATGCGAAAATGAAGCTGTTGACGGACGTCTGCCGCCTTAATTCAGGCTGTTGTCCCAGTGTCCTGGTAGAAATTAGCCATTTCCTCTGTATCCCATGCTAACTTACTCTTTCAAGGGGAGGAGTAGTTGGCAGAGGAAAAAACCATAATGATTTTACACAGTACAAAATGTGACCAAGGCTAACTTGAGGAAGGTACAAGAAGAGGAATATCCAGCTGATCATTTAAACCTTAGTGCCAGAAACAGTCAAAATTATCTGTGGAAGGCCGTAAGATCAGTAAGGAGCTCCTCTACAAAGGAAGACCCAAATTTAAGTCTTAGCAGTTAAAGTGACCTTTGGTAACTCCAGTAAGGTGGAGGCCTGCTCCTGGGCAAATGCAGGAAAGCAAAGATCTAAGGCCAGAACCCACATCCCACAAAGAGTCCATCTTTTCCAAAGTTGGAAGGAAAAAGCTCCCTTACAATGCCTCATGATGACCAGCCCTCAGTTCCCTCTACTACCTTCAGTTCATGTCTCATATGACTTATTATTATGCTGGAAATGAGTAATTTTAAAAAGCAAAATATTCTGGGGGAAAAGGAGTGAAAATTCCAACCTACTTCATCCCTTAAATTTCAAAAGGCAAATAATCCATTAACTCATGACCACACCTCTCCCTGCCCCCCAAAAGCAATGAGAATTTAAATTTATATAACAACTTGAATATAGGTCTAAATTATAAGGGGCAATCTCTCTTTTCAGATCCTTGGGCATTTTATTTTGTGGCCTTTCCAGTACTTTCTACCAAAAACAAATCCACAGAGAACGTGAAAGCATCCCAGCTATAGGAACTAGTTTTAGTCAATTGGTGAAGACAAATTGGAAGGTTTGTCCTGAAAAGCAATGATTTTAAGGTTAAGGTTATACTTTTTATTCATGGTCAGCATAGCCGCAAAGTGTAGAAAGAAAGACAACAGAATTGTCTCAGAGTATAGTGTTCACATATCAGGGCCATTGTAAAAACAGGGTTTTAGTTTAACAGGGTTTCTTAGTAGAGGCTGCCTCTGCCTTACTAATTGTCCTCCTTGATGTTTGCTTTCTTTTGTCCTCCTTACCCATCTACTACAGCTGACAAAACTTACACCAAAGAGACTCCTCACACAATTTGTTTTTGAGAGACTGCTATTTGCTTAGCACTGTACGAGCAATAATGAAGGGTAGGAAAGGATCAGATGTGTTCCCTGCCCTTTTGGAGCTTCTCATTTGCTTGGGGAGAAAAGACTTAGAAAACTTAGTGTATTCATGTCCATTAAAGAGGTAAGAAGGGCCAACACAGTATTGCTTAGGGAACGGAGTGAGAATGGCAGCACAGTTAGAGCGTGAGGAACGGCACAGGTCACAGGAATCTTTTCCGGGTCACCCAAGTGGTCTTCAGATCACAGTGGAGAGAAAACTAGATGAGGAGATTGGGAAGCCAGCAACCAGATGGGGCCTGGCTCAGCTTTGTGATTTTTTTCCCCTGCCTCTTCTGCTCTTGCAGTGTGCACGGGAAACAACTGAAGGGCAAATCTGGAATTCATGGTGTGTGTCTGCGTGTGTAGGGGTGAGGTGGGGAGGAAAAGGCCAAATACATTATCTGATCATTCTGTACCTGTGGGGAGGTTAGGGAGCTTCATTTTCTGGCTGCCTTGCTATTTGCATGGATATGATGCCCAAATGTAATCTCAGGAAAATAAACTAACTGGATTATGAGCTGAAGAATCATGTGGCTTTTTTTCCTGCTAGCATCTCAGCAGCTGCTCTACGACAAACGGCCCAACAAAACTGCCACCATCACAGGATGAATCTAAAGGACTTAATTGCCTGTGAGTAATTTACAAAAAGTACTTGGAATTTGGTATGTGATTAGAAAGAACAACCGCGGTGGAACACCGCTGCATTTCTAGTCATTTTTGGGACCATATCTACCTGGTTGGTGTTTGAAGGCAAATAATTCTTTCTGCTTGAGAAAAATGTTTGATTCTGTTCCTCCACATGCATTTATTTGGGAGAGTTAAAAACAAATCCAGATACAGTTGCTGTTTTGATTCTACTCACCCTCTCCCTCCCCTGCCACCCTCCACCAAAACCTTCACTTTGTCTGGTTTGAGTTTTCAGACCACACACACAGAGGACCGAATGTTTTGTAGGTGATCAGAGTCTTATGAGCTCTGTAGTTGGCAGAAGACTTGATCTTTGACCACTTGCCTCTTCATGGTATTGCTCTGTGGGAAGAGGTGCCCCCCTCCCTTAATAATGTGGGATGTGGTAGGATGACCCTCATGGCCCATCACCTCTGTCATTTAAAACATAGCTCGTTTAAGTCCAATTGGTCTGAAACCTGCTTTCTTCAGATCTTGCCCAAAGTTTATATCTGTAATCATCTATAATGAGCCTATGCTGTCAGATTTACCCAGCACCTGTCCCAGAAGACTGAGGCCCAAGCCATGGTCAGCACCACTGATGGGCAGCCTGAAAGAGCCTGGAGGAGCCCTGCAGGTGAGATACTGCCTGGAACCTCCATACTCACCCTGTTCCCCCCCCCATCTGAAGGCCGAAAGCCCTGCCTGCCCCTAAAATATCTGAAACAAAACACACATTTAAAAACTTTGGTCAACCTGTAAACAGTTGAATTTTTTCCCATTGATGAAATTATCAAGTACTTAATTTTTATTTCCTCCATGAATGTATTCATATGTTCATGGAAATCTTGCCCAGCACACGGAGCATTTGGCAGTCAGTTTCTTCTCCTTTGGGAAACCACCTATGCGAGTTTTCAGGGATGACCAGGGAGACTAGGAGTAAGTTTCTGTACAGTCAGTGAAACCCCAACTAGTGGAGGCCATGCTCCGGGCAGAGCAGTGGATGAGGCAGGTAGAGGCAGTGGATGGAGAGAGGGAGGAAGGTTGGTATGTGATCCAGAAAGTCTAATTTCTGATGTTTCTTGGCAGGTTCTGACTATGATATCTTATGTGGTAAAGATTGTAGATATTGGATGAGAAAGAACAAAAAGCCACTTAAAAAAAAAAAAAAGCAACTCAAAAAAACTATCATGCATGTTTTGATTCTATTAAAACAATGATTATATTTAAATAAGACTAACATAGTTATTCCTAATGCATGTATGCTTATGTTTTTCCATTTATATTTCTTCCATCTAATAGATACCGAGATAAAATATAAAATCAAAGTCAGCATTTACCATTTATCTTATCATTCATATACACTATTCATATATACTTATTTTTTCCCTTAAAATGTACAGAATTTTAATTCTATAGACTTCTTTTGGGTCATGAAACTCACTTCACATTCTGAAAAACACTTTCAGTTGTTTCTTTAGCTGAGTTAGCTTTGCCCATTTTATTAACTGCACTTTTATACATTTATTTATTTTTGTGATTTATAAAAATGGCCTCATCATTTTAATAGTCACCCCTGGGTGCATAGGCAATGGTTTAGAAAACTTCCAAAATATGGTAATACCACTATAGCAAAACACCATTACAGCAACAAAAAACACAAACCCACTGAACACGAGCCCAGAACAACATTCCTCCAACTATCTGGGGAAAATAAACCAAAAAGAGCTATCTTTCATCGTGCCTGAAAGGTCAGCTAACCAGGGCTCTCAGGAGAACAGAGGAATGGTATTTTACAGAGGAGGGCCCTTTATGGAAGACCCTCTGCTTCCAGCTCCCCAGAAATGCACTGCAGGGTGGGGTGTGGAGACTGATCTCATTTGAAAAGAGAGGTCATAGAAATGAAGCAACAGAGAGCCTGTCCCACCTCCTGTGGATGTCTGGGGCTGCATGGATGAATAGACACGCGGTCCATTAGAGCTGATGACCACTCTTGTCCCGAGAGCTGAGGGCAGAGCCCTTTTTTTTTTTTTCTGTTGTTATTATTTAGGGCTAATAAAGGGCAGAAGGAAAGATTGTTCTTTTGTGATGCAGCATCATAATATAGAGATGGATTCTGAGTCCCAGCTGTGATTTTTACTAGATGTGTGATCTTGGGTAAGTCGCAAAGGTTTTCTTGAATTTAAGTATTTCTCTTAATATTAGAGACAACAATGGCTGCTTCTCAGAGTTGGTAAGAGAATTAAATGAAAAAACCTGTGTGAAAGCACTGGTGTAATATATTGAAAGTGCTTTATATCATACATGACTGTACTGCTACCTGGAGTTTTCCTTGAGTCTAAATCATCTGGACTCTCTCTTTGTCTTTAGCTGGGTGCACACAGCCTTCGCCATTGTGAATCGGATCTGAGCAAATGCCTGAAGAACCCAGAGAAGTAGCTGGTCCGAGGAGGTGGCCCCATGTCATACCGCCTCTGACAGCACTGGGCAGGCAAATAAGAACTCAGTCACTCAGGAGTGTAACAGGGGTTCTGGCAGAGCCTGGAGTGAGAGAAAGTGCAATGGGGCAGAAGAAAAGATAGAGGGGACTCGAGTATGTTCAGTTGACTTTCGCCAGCCTGTGGGGAAGCAGCATGGAGCAATGGTTACAAACGAGGGCTCTGGAGCTCTTCTTAACAGTGATGCATACTTAGCTTTCAGTGCCCGAGGCCCACATCTGCAGAATAGGGAGAATAATAGTACCTGCCTACAGCATTGTAGGGAGGACTCAATGGGTGAGTGCAAGCAAAGGGCTTAGAACAGTGCTCAGTATGCTGGGTGCTGGTTCTTTCGAGAGGCAATAGAGACTCAAGCTAATGCACCGGACTCTGAGGGAGCTGCCTGAGTCTGCCTTCACCCCTTACTGACTAGATGACTTTGGGAATTTTCTGCACCTCTGTGCCTCACTTTCTTCATCTGTAAAATGGGGGTGATAATAATACCTACTTCCTAGGGTGGTGGTGGTTATGATGAAATGAGTTAATAAATGTGTTAATGTGTTAATAAGCAGTGTCTGGCAGGTAGCACATATTTGCTGATACTATTATTGTTGTTGTCTTTTACTACTGTTTTTACAGGCATGCTGCCCCCTCACCTTTCCCTCCAACTCAATAAATGTAGATTATCCTACAGCCAACCTGAAGGAGAAGACTCTATCACCTGGAGATTTTTTCTATGGCTCTCACCAATACCCCTGGACATACCAGTGTCATCCTTTAATAATCCTCTAGGAAGAGACACAGCCATCCCTCCCAGCAGGCTACCCCATACCACACCCTCACTCTACCTCTGGATAGACTATCTATTTTTCACTTGTGATTTTTCACCACCTTCAGCTCTTCTACTTGTGTTTTTCCTCTTCCTACTAGTTCTTGAGTGTGACCAAGGGTTCTTCTGAGTTCCATAGACCCTCAGGGGATCTTGCATTAATCAGACCAGGGCTGCTATTGGTCGGGATGAATACATGGGCGGACGCACTCAATGGACAGTGCTTGGTTTCTGGTTTTTATGAAATCCACCAGAAATGAAAAATGGAGCATAAAAAAAAATTAAATGCCCTGTTGATTTCTAGTTAATCCAATTATCTCATTCTTCATGCTACTAGAGATCCAGAATGATACCGCCATTATTTGAAAAGACGGAGAATAAATACTAACGCCTTACCAAAACATTGCAGGACTCTGCAGTTTCCTCTAAAACCTCCTTTCTGTTTGCAGGTGGACTTGAACTCGAAAGACGGAGGAACATCATTGAACACATCCCCTTTGTTAGCAGTCTGAGCTTCATAGGCCCTGGGCTTATGGCATTCCTTCACGGCGGACATGGCAGAACGAGTTGGACATGCCATTTTAGACTGAGCTCTGAATCTCCAGACTGTGAGTAGTTTAATTCATACCCTCCATGTAGCTTTGCTATTGACATTTATTAGCTGAGAGTGTTGCTGCCAACACAAGTTTTGAGTAGATTGTGGTATAAACAGATTTCCTCTTTACACATTCTAATCAGCGCAGAAGGACAGTTTTTATTGAAACCGTATCTCAGCCTAAGTTTCTCCACACATGTAGGCACACATGTACAGAGTTTAAATTGTATTTATGGTTGGTAAATGTTCTAATTATGGGGCTGCGTGTGTTCTGAGGAGAAAATTAACTCAGTGAACATGGGAGGCCAGGATGCCCTTCCACCCTGGTTTAGGTTCTTTATGGTTTTAGGCTTTGAGAAATCAATGCCATGAAATGGTGGGTGACAATCCAGGTAGATGTTTGACTCCCGACTGATTTACAGTGTTATCTACATATTTCTTTTGCCTCCATGAGGGAAAGTTTGATTTCTTACTGCCTGCATCATCCTAACATATCACAGAGCAATTTCCAACAAGCTGCTCTTATGGACAATGTCCTGGGCCTCATTTCCCATATTAGAGTGCATGAAATGCTAAAATAGAAAAGGGGTGTAATTGACATCATGCCCACCAGCCCAGTCCCATACTACTGTCGTAATGATGACAATGAGTGGGTTACTAGTCACCAAGCAGTGCCTAGGCTTCTTTGGAACTCACCTAAGGAGAGGTTTTGACATCTTCCCCAGTGCCACTAAAGAAAGCAGTCCTAGCTGTAGCTGACCAATGGGTGCTAAAGGGTTTTGAAAGTAGCTGCTGCCGCTGCTATATAATTAGCTCAAGGATGTTGTAATTTGCAAAATATGCACTCCAAGGATATGTAGAACATAATCTAGTCAGCTCTACCCAACCACAGTAATTTTGCTGCTGCAGGCAAAATGCTTTCCTGGGCTAGGCTCGAGTTGACAGATTACTGAGGGAAATCTTTGTCTCACCCACACTCCCAGATTATTCAGCTTACTTTCTAACACACCACTCAACCCTCCATGCAGACTGTGTGGTGTAGACGTGGCACCCTAAACGGAATAATCTCCTTGCTGACAGCTGAAAAGTAAAGGCATCTGTGGCAATCAGATGGGTTGTCTCAGGTTGGTTCCAGATGTCAAGTTGATTAATGTTAAGAGTCAGGACTGCCAGCAGCTAGGCCACGTGAGTGCACAGATCGCCAGGAAACAACCCTGGTGCTTGTGGCATCGGTGGGTAGAGACATAACGCACAGATACTGAACAGACGCCAGTCCTTCTGTATCAGCTCAGTAGAATGCCCAGAAAATCATGGATTCCTCCAGCATGCAAACCCCAACACATAAAACTGTTCAGCTATTTTTCATGTTTCCTAACCTAGTGGGTTTGTTTCCTTAAATTAACATCAGTATTTCTATGCTAAGCGGTCCAACCCAGGAAGGCCCTAGTGGGAAAAGCCCAAGATGAAGTTTGGATCTTTGTGATGATAAAACAATACATCTCTGTAGTACTTCCGATTTTCTAAAGCACCATTGTCTTTACTTCCTTTCTCACTTGTAGCTTACATCCCTGTGAGTAAGTTTGAGAAAGGTGTGCTCATGTAAGTGGTACAGGGTTTGTGTTTTGAAATACTCTGTGGATATAAGGTGTCATTGTCTCTCTCCATCTCCGTGGGCCACTGTGAGATGGGTGAATGGACTATTGAAGTTCATGCAGTTCAGTCAGCACAAGAAATCATCCACCACCCTACTCATTCTCTTAAACCAGTGTTTTTCAAAGTGTGGTCCATGGACCAGTAGCATCAGCATTATCCCAAACCTACTGGGTAGAACCTCTGGAAGTGGGCCCAGCAATGTGTTAACAGAAGCCCTTGAGGTGATTCTAATGCACACTCCAGGCTGAGAACCACGGGCCTGTGCCAGTAGTTCCCAGCTCAGTTTTCTTGGATGCCAGGACCCAGTGGACATAATGATGAAACCCCATAAGCTGTTTTCAAAATTTCATGAAACTTAATGAAAATCATACTCTTAATGTTACTTTTTAAAAAAACTATATATTTTATTACACATGGCTGATAAATGAACGTTGGGAAAGGAAATTGATTATTAATCAATGCCATTTGGTACTCTTTCTTTCATGCATCACTCATTTAATCCTTTAAAGGTTATCTAATATGCTCTGTGCTAGATACTGGGAGATTCAAAGATGGTACACTCTTTACTCTTGAGATAACTATAGGCTTGTAAACAGATTATTGCAATTCAATATGCTAAGTACCGAAAGGCACATTTAAACAGTACTGCTGTAGAAATAAATCTTCTGAAAACCTTGGGGGAAATAATCTTCAGACTTGGCTGTGTTGCTTCAAGGCTTTGTGCTTGAACTTGTGTGGTTGGAATGGGGAGAGATGGGATGGCAGGACTACTCCCTCTTCATTCCCAACCACCCAGCTGAGAACCGGTGGAAACACAAGCCCACTTCTGGGTTCTGGGTTTGCCCTCTTCTTGGAACTTCCTGCCTTTCCTGGGCAACAGCATTTCTGATTATGAGAAGCACTGATAGAGCACTTGAAACAGGCTCACAGAGGCTCTGTGTTAGTAAGGAGAACTTGAAAATAAGACCTACAACATATTTTTATTGACTTGGCTTATCTTTTATTATAGTGGGCAATTATTTAAAAGGCACCTCTCTGTTTAACCAAGGACTTGAAACCAAATGAAATGTCAGCTTGATTCAGAGTCTATTTGGAAAACATTTCAGTACACTTACTTTAGAAAATACATAGGTTTAATTTCAGTTCAACTGTTTCACAGGTCTTTGTCTTAAAAAAAAAAATCCATGCTTCTGTGGCAGGAGAAAAAAATACTCTCTGTGTTCATTTTGCTTTCAGATTAGAGTGAGGTTTGTCCCTATTTGTCAGGTTCTTGGTTCTAGAGTCTCAAGCCTAAGCAGATGAGGGGCCCACCTCTGCGCTTTCTCTCAAGTTGACTTTCTGTCTGTAATTCCACTTCAAAATGACTGTATACACAAAGTACATCCAGCATAACTAAAACAAGAGGAAAGGGAAGGGGCAGGGCAGAGATGTTAATACAAGGAAACTTCACATGTAACAACTGAAACTTATATCAGAACATTAGCAATTGCTTTCTTCTGGTGGGGGAGTGCTTCTGGTTCTAAATGAGGTGTTAGTGTTTGCGGGGTGATAACCTTGTCCCACTGAATTATGATGAGAAAACAACCCAGTTGCCTGCAGAGCCAAAAACAAATCTCAGAACTGCTTAACTCATCCGTCAAACAAATTGTATTTTAGGAAATTCAGGACAGAGAAAAATGCACAAAAGAAAAGGAGATTTATTTATTTGTACAAAAGTAGAATGACAGGCGTTTGAGTGGATCCAAATAGCATTTAGGGAGGAAAAAAATGTGATTCATTGCCAGCTATTAAATCTTGTTTATCCTTCTTTAAACTAACCAGAAACACATTTTGGAAAAACGCTAGTTAACAGTTTAAGCATTGACAGCCTCCTGTTGTGCTGTTTTGCCTTCCCTGCCTTCCAAGGGGAAGACGATGGGGTGCAGCCAGTGAGCATTGTTTCACGAGTCCATGACAGGAGATGAATTCCAGTCCTGCTTGTGAAGCTCGCCTTCAGTCTCTGGGAGAATTCCTTCAGTTTCCTCAAAGAAGGATGCTTACCTCACAGCAGGGGCAAGACATCCGTGTTTACAAGGTAGTTTCAGATGAAAGGCCCCGAAGGACACAAAACATTATTCAAAGACACAATGACTGATGAACTGACGTGTCCTTCAGAAAGTGCCAACTCCCAATAGCCAATCATTATCACGGTATCTCCCAGACCAACAGCTGACCTCACCAAAGCTGGCTCCAGTCACAGCTTTGTGATTGAAATTCTTCAGAGCACTTGACAAGGATCTGAAAAATTTGCTGAAATCCCAAAAGCCAGTGGGAGAAAGCCCTCCAGGCTGCAGTATATTGTGGGGGCCCCTTCCAGCCCTGCCCTGTGCTCATCCTGCTACAGGGCTTTGAGGGAGCAGCCTTTTTTTTTTTTTTTTTTTTGCGGTACGCGGGCCTCTCACAGCTGTGGCCTCTCCCGTTGCGGAGCACAGGCTCCGGACCCGCAGGCCCAGTGGCCATGGCTCACGGGCCCAGCTGCTCCACGGCATGTGAGATCTTCCTGGACTGGGGCACGAACCCGCGTCCCCTGCATCGGCAGGCAGACTCTCAACCACTGCACCACCAGGGAAGCCCAGGAGCAGCCTTTTATAGCTGGTTCTGCTGCCCCCAACTCCAGCACCCTTTTGCTTAAATGTATTAGTATAAATATTTGGCTTGTCAGTGCCCTTAGAATTTGAGGGTTCGGTACCTACCATAGACTGTAGTGATTAACTTGATTTAATTAATTACAAAATATACACATTTCTGAAAAAAGCCACTAACATCTTTTTGCTTTCTAAGCAGATAATTCTACCACCAGGACTATCTAGGTTTTGTGGTCTCAGTAGTGTCTAGAAAGGTGACTCTGCTGAGTTTAAGGCCACAAAGAAAGGCCCAAGTGGACTCATTAGATCCATAGAACTCCTCTCCTCCCCCCTCCTCCCACTGCAGTGATCTAGCAGGAGGAATGTCCACACAGTGGTTTGCTGACCTTCAAGCCTCAGGGCACTCATGGAAGCAAAGTGCTCTTTGCCCTTGCTGGTTGCCATCCCTCCTTTTCCCTCATAACCTGCAACTTTTCTCTTGCCCAACACATCACATTCCCTCACATATTTCTATTAATATTATAAATTCCGTGAGGGCAAGAACTGTGTCTTATTCAGTTTTGTATCCCCTTCTCTTAGCAGAGCACCCACCCCATAAAGTCAGGCACTGAAAACCAGTGGTTGAAGTCGTCCTCCCACAAGTAGATGTAGGGCCTTCTCACCTGCCAGCATCATGAGCCACCGAGGCTGGGTCTGCACAGGTTCAAAGTGTTAAGACATTTCCTTCCAGGAAGCT